CAAAGAAATCTGTCATGTGAAATTCTTTTCCTTGATCAGATCTAACTCCCTTAATCTTACACTTAAATTTATTTTCAACAAAATTGAAGAAACTCTCTATAATTTTCCTTGTTTGGCTCTTAGAATGCATGAGGTAAGTCCATGTCATTCGACTATGGTCATCAACAATTGTGAGAAAGTAATGAGCACCATTGAGTGAACTAACAGAGAAAGGGCCCCAAATATCCATGTGTATTAGATCAAAAGGTGCATCAACAAATTTTTGACTCTTTTTAAACGACAAACGGGTTTGTTTTGCCATATGGCAAGTTTCACATTGATGCTTGACTACAAAAGGAGGAATATTAGGCTTTATACTATGCAACAAACTGAGATGTTGATCAAAGGGGTGTACTAATCGTAAATGCCACAATTCTGGTGTCAAAATAGATGAAGAGTTGGCTACGGGTTGGTGAGATGGTAGCTTGTCCCCGAGCTGGTTTTTCTCCAAAAAATAGAGCCCTTGTTTTTCTCTAGCAACTCCAATCGTCCTCCAATTGTTCAGCTCCTAAATAAAACATTGTTTAGCCAAGAAAATAAAACAAGCATTTAGATCTCGACTAATTTGACTTGTAGATATAAGGTTGTAATGGAAGTTAGGTACGTATAGGACATTTTTTAAAGTAAGAACAGGAGAAATAACAACAGTCCCCATATGTGAAACCGGTACCGTAGTGCCATTAGGCAAGTTGATTGAGACATTTTGTAGAGACTTTCTCTGTACAAGTAGGTCAAATGATCCTGTGATGTGATCAGTTGCCCCACTGTCGAGAATCCATGTGCTTCTACTGGTTATGGTATTTGTGCAGCTCAAAAAATGCCTGAAGGATACAGGTAAAGTAGCAAAAAATTTATCATTGTTGTTTGATATATTTATACCTTGATTTTCTGAGTTGCTGCTAGGTGGGGTAGGATTTTGGCATTGCAAAAGGGCTATGAGCTAGCGTATTTGATCTGGTGAGATATTCAAACCTGGAACTCATGACCCCCCATTTGAAGATGCATTGTTGGCCAGCTTCTGCTGGGTTCTACTTCCAGGTTTAGGTTTATGTAATTTGTGGTTTGGAGGGTATCCATGAATCTCCCAACAAGTATCCACGGTATGGTTTGTTCTCCCACATTCAGTGCATGCCACTTTCTCCTTAGAACTCAATCCCTTGGAGTTTCCTTTTGTCTGCTTGGCATTTCCCCTTTGGTTTAGTGTTTTGCCACTGTTGACTGCCATTACTGCAGGTTCCATAACATGTTGGATGGGGTTAGTGAGCTCATGATTAGCCTCCCCTTGTAAAACAAGGTTGAATACACTATCTAATGTAGGGAGTGGATCCCTCATCAGAATCTGATTCCTCAGGCCAGCATAAGCTTCATCCAATCCCATAAGGAATTGCATAATTTGTCTTCTCTCTAGCCTTTTGTTTAGCACCGAAATAGCACCACAATCTGCTGCTGAACATTTGAAAGGTTCCTCATATCTTGATATCTCTTCCCAGATAAGTTTCAACTTGGAAAAGTAAACACTTACTGGATTTTTGTCTTGTTTAATTGCTGACAGTTGCTGTTCAAGCATGAAGATCCTATTATTGCTTGATCTTGCAAATCTTTTCTTGAGCTCACCCCACACTTCTGATGCAGAATCGGAGAACATAATATAGCTGCCAATCTCAGGTGAGAGACTGTTGGTGATCCAAGATAGGATCATGTGGTTGCACCTCTGCCACTGTGAGTATTTGGCATCAGTTTCAACAGGTTTCTTGATGGTGCCATCAATGAAGCCTAATTTGTTTTTGGCTGAAAGAGCTACATACATAGCTCTACTCCAAGAATGGTAGTTATGAGGAGTTAATGGCTGTGAGACTAAAACAAGTCCAGGGCTCTCCCCATGGTGCAGGAAATAGGAATTGGAAAGATCATCTGCAGGTTGCTCAGGCTCAGCCATAAAGGAGTTTGACAAGGAAGAAGGTTCTGGTGTGAAGAAGATGTGTTAGGATCAGTGAGATAAAGAGGTTCAAAGCTCAGGCTCTGATACCATAATAAAAGAAGAGCATTTTGTGATAAATAGGAAGGAATTCATATTGATTTTGAATTGTAATTGTACAAGACATTGCCCCTGATTTATACACTGTAGTAAAGCAAAAAAAAACAAATCTGTACAGCACAAATAAAAATAATAGCCTGCAGCATCCCATGTGTAGTCCTTATCATAGACTTCAAATATGGCAAGCCTGCTTCATTTTCTTTATACATCAGAGTCTTGTTTCCATTCCAAGCAAAGTCAAAACTGTCATATGGGAAGCTACATCTGCACAATCTGATTTCCTTCAGAATTTTTTCAATAGTCTTCTTGGTTTTTTTGTATTAGCCACAACCCTAAAGCTACCATAATACAACACCATGGGATATTCTGGCGACAGGCATTACCTTCAAATTAGTAAGGAAGTTTCTGAGCCAGACAGACTCTTTGGCTGCTTCATAAGCTGCTATATATTTAGCTTCTGTGGTGGAATCAGAAATACAGGATTTCTTAGTACTCATCCAAGTCATAGCCCTGTCACTGAATCTAAACTTCCCAGTGTAAACTTTCTAGAGTTATTGTCCAATAAAAAATCAGAGTCATTGGACTCATTGTAGACGCAGTGTATAGGCAGCTCTTGTTCTCTGACTTGTTGGAGCACATCCCGCGATTTACCTCCCTCAATGCTTAATTGCCACCTAGTGATATCAATGGGATCAACTTGGCCCTTGGACACAAGACCACAAGTCACGATCTAAAATAAAAAATTAATATATTTATTTAAATCACGTATTATTTATGCATTTTTTTATTATAACAAATTAATAATATTGGAACGAAGAGTATTTCTAGAAAAGGTATGTATTTAGGTTGGAAATATTTTTGTATGAAGTTGGTCATGTGGACGCTATGCACTATGTTAAGTGGAAATTAACATTAGCTACAACTACTGCCAAACCTTCTTCTCTTCTCTTGTGAAAGACTGGAGATTAAGACCAGTAAAAGAACTTACACCAGGATAACCAAGCTAACCTCTCTTTTGGTATTTACACAGTGCTTTATGCTTTGGCAATCTGTCTCCTATAGGACCCTTGGTCACAAATTTGACGTGTTCCAACACTTAGTACCTTTTTTATACATTCAATATTTATTACTTGAAAATGTTATAAACCATTTCTTTATCTCCTTCAAATTATTCAAATCAATTGGATTCGTATGGTCAATGGCCAAATCATCAAGAATTGAAACGTCATTAGACCAGTAAAATCATGATCTAATGGCAGACTAATTTCTAGAGTGTTGGAAGGACCAAAGAGTTGGTTGAACTCACCACTGGTAGGCCTGGGCAAAAAAATCGAAAAATCGATCAAACCAAACGACTCGGGTCGGTTGACCCAAGTAATTGGTTTGGTTTAATTTTTTTTTTTTAATCATAAATAAAACCATGGTGGTTTAGTTCGGTCATGGTTTGAAACTTCAAACCGCTGATTAATCGAACCAACCTATCCATTTATATGTTTACCTTTTTTAAAAAAAATACAAATCAAAAGATAAGCTCTGTATCACGATTCCCTCCAAACTATAATGTTGACAATAAGTAATAGTACTGAAAACTTCCATCATAAGCTCATTATATTGTACTTAGTCTTTTTTTCCCTACTCACACGGCCAGGATACACATAATGTACAAAAATGCAACAAAATTTTTAAGTTTTCTATTGATCTGTCTTTAGTAACTTGAATTTATTTATTAGTCAATAATTATTGTAATATTAATTTATTTACTTATTTTAGTTCTTATTATCTAATTTGGCCCAAAATTTGGACAATTTTTTTTAAACATTAATTTGGATTAAAAGTTTAAACAGACTAACCGAATCGAACCTTCGGTTTGGTTTAAGAGTTATAGTTAGTTGGTTTGAGTTGAAATTCATCCAAATCGACTAATTTGATTTTGATTTTGGGTCGGAGTCGAAACTAACCCAAACCAAACGGTGTCCACCAACAATCTATTATAATTCATTTGGAATAATGTATGAAAGAAAGGATAAGAATAAGAAAAATTATACCTGAATTGGATAGAAGTAACTCAAATAAGAAAAATTAGAGATAATAAAATTTTATAGCACACAATAAGAGAACTTTCAGATTGAGATCGTAGAGGCTTTTTTGAATTTGTACTTTTTTGAATAATTTGAGAGTATAGTTACAATTTGTTCTTTATTTTTTATTTAAATAGGAGGTTATATTCATCATTTTACAGTTATTAGTTGAGAAAATGAGTGAAAGTGATGATTTTTCAAATGTAATTTGAAAATAAGGATAAAAATGTCAAAAAAATAAAAGGTATGAATGTTTTAATCAATAATATGAAAATGTAGAACGTTTTGTACTAATTATCTTTTTAATAATTTATTTAGGCTTATTTGTGATTTTTTGAAATTTTTTAGAGTATAATTGCAATTTGTTCTTCAATTTTTTTTTATTATTTAAATAGGAGGATATATTTGATATTGTACATTTTTTTTTATTGAGAAATTTGATGAAAGGACTATTTCCGTAATAAAATGTGAAAATATGAGTGAAAATACCAAAAATTAAAATGTAAAGACATACAATAACATAAAATACGTTTTATGCTAACTACCCGTCCCAAAATTCAATCCTCCCGTATTGACTGCCCAATTTTAAATAACTCCGAGTCCACCCGCAAACCCCCCAACTTCATCAAAATCCCGCGAGAAAATAAAGTCTTTGGTGAAGAAAACTTGAAAAACTCAACAAGATACGGAAAATCGGATCACCACCAAAGTGGATTTCAGAATCTCAGCCGATGCTTTGTATATATTAAAAAGTAGATTTCATAGGATTTGATTTTGAACACTTCTTTTTCTTCATATATACATTGAAAAAGACGTGTGGTATCCCATATATTTTTGATACATACAGATTCATTCACCTTATATTACACCACATCTTTTCTCTCCATTTCTTTGTCTCTTGTATCAGCCAGCCTTTAACTTGAAGGGCTTTTTTGAAACAAAAACAGTTGAATTTTTTTGCAAGATTTTCTGCAAGAACTGAAAATGGATAAAAATGTTGTGTTTTCTAGATTAAGAAGGCTTGAGAAGAATGAACGGTTGGATAATGATTTATCATCATCTTCTGATTCTGATGAAGTTCATGTTTTAGCTGTTGATGACAGTTTTGTTGATAGAAAAGTCATTGAGAGATTGCTCAAAATCACTTCTTGTAAAGGTGAATGCTCTTTTGAATTTATTTTGTTAAATTTGCTTAATTTTATGAAATACTAATTATTTGTGCCATTGCAGTTACAGTAGTGGATAGTGGGATGAGGGCTTTGCAGTTCTTAGGACTGGATGAAGAAGAAAGTTCTGATGGTTATGATGTGAGTAAATAATTAATTATAATTATTTTTAAAACAACTGATTATGAGGGCTTTTTTGTGTTAATTAATGTATTAATGGGTGATCCATTTTGATCATCAGGGTTTAAAGGTTGATCTGATAATCACAGATTATTGTATGCCTGGAATGACTGGCTATGAATTGCTGAAGAAAATCAAGGTTCATTTTTCTTATGAAATTTCGTATATAAAATGTTTTCATTTATAGATTATAATTATTTGAAAATTAATTATCTTTTTGTATTGTCAACAGGGTTCATCTGCATTTAGAGAAATTCCAGTTGTGATTATGTCATCTGAAAATGTTTTAACTCGGATTGACAGGTACCTTCATATCTTTTGCTGGCCTATACATTTTTCTCTCCTTTTTTTGTTGCCTAATTTTAATTTCAAGAAAAGTTATATGCAAAAAAAACCAAGTTGAGAGATTTACACCGTGTTTGACCGTGTTTAAAAGTCACTTTTTAGCTTAATTTCTCATCGACCAAACATATGCTAATTAATCTTTGAAAACTTAAAATTAAAGTGATTGAATAAGGATAAGTATTTGTTCTTCAATATTCATATTGTTTAATTATGGTTTATGATAATTTAATTGGAGTTGGATGGTCCATGTCATGCTTAATCATAGTTTTTTAGCAATTAGGTTTACCACACGACTAGAATCAATGAATTGGCTACCAATTAATGCTTCGATATCTGGGTATATTATGGAACAAGTTACCTTATTTAGTATGCATTATAAAATCTTATCCACACAACTAATTGAACTACTCTTGAAAATAAACATCAACTTGGTTGAGTAAAAAGAACAGATTTTTTAAGAAATGATTGGAGCACGAAACTAAGTAGAGCAAGTTTTTTGCTAATGAAGAATGAGTTCAGTCTGTCTTTTCTCGATGATATCCGGCGTGTTTTGTGATTTTGATCTTCGAAATCTTATAATCTAATTTATGGGTTTGTGCTTAGTTTATTTTATAAAGTTTGTTTAATTTCATGTTGCCCTCTTTCTCAATTGATGGGTATTTTGAGTTATTTTATTCTAATGTTGTTATTCGATATCAGATGTTTGGAAGAAGGCGCGGAAGATTTTATAGTAAAACCCGTTAAGTTATCAGATGTAAAACGTTTGAAGAACTACATGTTTGGCGAGGGCCGAACGAAGAGTCAAGATAAAGGGTTTAACAAAAGAAAATTACAAGAGACTTCGCCAAGCACTTCACCTTCACTGTCTCCCACATCTTCAATTTCACCGGAACAATCTTCCGATTTGTCATCAACTTCTTCACCATCAACACCTAGTTCACCCGCATTTCAAGATTCTCCCACCAGGCGGTTCAAATCGAGCAATCAAGATTAACACAAGTGGAAAGGGCCCTTATAAAAATATATGTACCTTGTTACTACTAGACAAGCCAATTGCCCAACAATGCAAAATTTTCTCTTGGCTTGCCATATTTTTGCTTATTAACTTTGTTTCAACTACAACCCGTATCTCACAATGTTAATACAAGTAAAATTCATTAATCTTATTCAAGAATAGCTAAGTGACTGTGATTATATTCCAGAAATACAGAAATAAAGAAATTTCACGATCGAACTACCAAAATAGAATAGACTAGAAGTCCGAGCTCTAACTATATCGATGGTAAGAATCTTTCATTACATATTAAAGATAATGTGCCGTCTAATCCAACTTATCTTGCACGTCAAAAACTATACCGATTTTGTACTTTTTTTTCATAATTATTTAATAATGTTTATAACATATCCATGGTGGTTGAAATATGGATTGATTTGATTCCGATACGGTCATATTTGATGTCAAATCTTGTCTGCTAAAAGGCATATTGGATTCTGATTTGAAGTGGACATGTTTTTATTTATGTTAATTTTTCCATGTGGGGTTGAATCTTTATTTAGCTGCAGAATTATTGGTAGACACCAAATATTGGCCCAACACATAGCATCTTCTGTTACAGCTGCCCAAGCAGCATCTACAATTATAAGCTTTAAACAGCTCAGTTATGTCATATATGGTGTGGCTGGTCCGTTATATACATAAGGTTTGTTTGGTAGGATAGTTGGTGTTATAATAGAGTATTAATGAGAAAAAAGTTATAGCGAGTTCTCGATTCATAAGTGACGTAGTAGGCACGTTCTTATAGACTTTATACGGGCGGTTTTTAAATGTTAGAAAGATAAGATTCTTACACGGTTGACATTTTAAATGTAAAAGTAGATCTTATTCCTATCCAATCAAACTCCCCTAGGAGCCCTACTCGGTCCCATGTGAAACGGAAGTTTGGATATGGGAAGAAGGTAAGGTAATCAATTTTTTTTTTTTTTATAAATTTACTAAAAGTAAGGATATAATGTATATTTTGATGTTACAAATTTCAAGAGTTGAAGATCTAAATGTGAAGGAATAAACAATGAGATTAATTCACATGAATTTAATAGGAAGGAAGATTATACTATAAATATTAAAGGAAATATTTATATAATTAGCATCTTCAAAGGAATGATGCTTATCGTAGATCCACAGTCTAACATGATTTTGGGATCAAGTATGTCTTCAAGACTTTCGGTCATAAACAGAGGCCCCAACAATAAGTTTTTATTTGATAACTATATAGAACAGCATTTAGCCATCAATGTGTCGATTTTTTTTTTCCTTTCTCCCATCCCACGCTTTCTGTTGGAAACATGACCGACTCGAGGATCACTATGCAACACCTCATCGTAACAAGTTACACCCGACCTTATATATTCTACCAATTCAAGGTCCCAAGAATGTTTAAGTCAGTTCTCTACGAATCAATTACGTATCCCAAGATTCCCAACCTCAGATGTGCGGAACATAGTCTGTCTTAACTTCTACTACCCTTTCTCCTTATCCAAGGATGCCTGTCCTTCTGCAATTAGGATATTGGCTCAATGGTGGAAACCTAATGGGACAAGGCCTATGACCCACAACCATCCTAATCTTGTTATTATCCTACGAAGCACTATAAAAGGGCACGATACCCTCACAAATCACCCAACAGTCTTTGGATTAGCTTTCTGCACGACTGCACGTACAATTTTGGGATAATTGCAGCAGAAGTTTCAGACCTTTGTAACATTAATAAATTTTTTACAAATCCTTCGTTTGTTGCAGTTATCACCCCTAACATTTCAAAATGTTGTATGGAAGGCCCTTTTGGATGGTTTCCATCTAAAATGTCGCCAATTGACAGTTAAAACAAACTTTGACCACCTTTTAGTCAATTTTAAAAGTGTAAAATGGTAACTTTCTATTTATCACGTTGAATAATTAAAAAACTTAAATCAAAAAGCCAAAAATTAAAAATAAAAGAAAAATGGATCTTCTTCTTCTCTCCCCCTACCCCCGCCCACCCCACTGCAAAGCCACAGAAAAAATGATTTCATCTTCGGAGATGCAGCAGCAGTTTTTCAAAATTGTGACATCTTTTTGAAGGCCAATGGACCACCAGGCCAACACAATAACTGCATTGGGAAGGGATGATACAAAAGAAAACACGGGAATATCGATCGTCAATTCTCGACGACACCCGCATCTGATTTTCGTGCTGTTAAAGGTAGTTTCAGGAATTATCTAGAGTAGCAATGGAAGAAATACTCAAGGACTGTTTTCTTAAAGACGGATTTAGATGGCTTCATTGATCAAAAAGGGTGGAAAGAATGGAGGGAGATTTTGCCCTTTCAACATTATATTATGCAGAGTATATGAATACAAGAATTGGGGATTCGACACAAAATAAAGTGAAATGGATCTTCTTCTTCTTTTCTCCCACGAGAAAGAAATCTGATTTTCTTTTCTTCCTTAAACGTGAAATTCCTCAATCTAAAACCAATGAAAATCTAGCTTTGATTTCTTGGAAAAGCCACCGATTTAAGGGAGCTCTTACTTAACTTTTCAAACCCACAAAGAAATCTAGCATCTGGGTGGTGGTCAATGGCGGTGGCAGATTATTACTATTTTTAGATTAAGAGGGTGGGGTGAGTGGCGGAGCGAAGAAAAAATCCCTTTTTTTGTTTTTAATTTAAGTTTTTTAATTGTTTAATATGGTAAATAGAAAGTTACCATTTTACCTTTTCTAAAATTGATTAAAAGGTGATGAAAGTTTGTTTTGATTGTCAACTGACAGTATTTTAGATTGAAACCATCCAAAAAGATCTCACATGTAACATTTTGGAAAGGTTAAGGGTGACGACTGCAACAACTGAAAGTTTTAGGAAAAGTCTACTAATATTACAAAGGTTTGGGCTTCTACTATTATTATCTCTACATTTTTTATTATATGATCCATTTTCGTAAATGTACAAATTATTGTGTTTCTTTTGTTCAAACAAAAGGACCAATACACATTAATCTTAATGTGTAATGGTCTTCTTGTTTAGTATAAAAGAGTCGGCAGTTTTGGAGCCCACAAATTTCCAATTGCTTAGAATTTTCTTTCGAGATCTGCCAGTTGGGTGACCAGGATGCCAATTTGATCATTCAAATGGCGTAATGATAACAATAATTTTGGAATTAGGTTAATTTAAATAATACATTGTCTCGTTGAACTCTAAGATATAACGCTGTTCCTACCCTTGATTGGGGACCGAGTAAGAGGGTGAAAAACATTTTCTTTTCTTCCTCGTTATTTTTAAATTAACTTTTATACCTTTAAAATAGTGACTACATAATTAATGGTGTTCAAATGCTAATATGTTAAGAAATTAATGTCAAGAAAAATTGAAAAAAAAAAGAATAATAATAGGTAAGGCCTGTTTGACGTGTTTTTTTTATTAGTCAAAATGAGCTTTCGAAACTTAAAAGTTGCTTTTAAACCACTTTGATTAATTTTATAAAAATGTTTCATCTAATTAAAAGAACTTTAGAAAAAGGTGGTTAATTATGACTCTCTCTAAAAGTTCTTCCATTTTAGAGATTTTAAACACTAATTAGATAATTTTCTCAAAAATCTCTTCTAAAAAAGAAGAAAAATGAAAACTACAAGTTCTTTTACTTTTACATAAGTACGGTAAGTAAAAATGAATTCAAAAGTAATTTTAATATTAATATTTTCATTTATATAATTCTACAGTTTCATAATTTATTCTTTTCAATTTTTCAATTAAGTTTTCAACGTTTATTAATCCATCTTAAAGTAGTGCTAATTATTTTCATGTTTTATTTAATTACACTTAAGTCATCGGTCAGATGTAATTAAATGTTTTCTTACATATTTTGGCGAAAGATCAAATTTAATTATAAGTTTTCTTGCTTAATCTCAAAAGAAATAATTAATTTCATTTATAATTATGAAAATCAAACTACCTTCGATAGTTATTCATAAATTTGACCTAATTTAAAAAAGAAAAACTTGGTAATCCTAAGGGTAGTGGAAGCTATGATATCAAATTCAAAATTTCAACCAACACTTTTACACATTTGAAAATGGGATATTGGATTTGGTGGTGTGTAATTCACTCAATTTTCTTCTTTTTCCATTGATCGAGCAGCTGATTTTTGCGCCTCAATCTAGTTTACTTTTTAGAGTGTTTCTACCATATTTCTATATTCTACCATATTTTACAAAGAATATAGAAATATGGTCGTCTTCAAGAAAGAAAATGGACACCGTAAGAGGTTGGTCAATGCTCATTAGAATAATCAAAATCCGACCAAGAACTTTCGCTCCATGGTATCCCATCGCACCTAATAATGCCAGTGGTGATTTTATGGTAGCATGAAAGGTCAAACCATACCTAAAAGCGAAGGATTTTGAAACTCAATAAAGTATTCAAGTTTGGATAGTGTTTGACAATTGAGCTTAAAGGGTTGATATGATGTTACAAATTGAATTCAATTTATCTACATGTCTAATACAACTCGCATTTGTAACACTGATATAGATCAATTTACAAACACACGATAATAGAAACTCAAATGGATTGAACTGGGAAAAAAAAAACACCAACGTTTTTCTTATTTCATGAACAATAAAAAACCTAAGAGACATTTTCAGAGCTTTAAATATGAAAAAAACAAATAATCTACTGGAGCAGCAGTCCCTTACTGGGCTATAAAACGAAAATAACAAATACTGAAAATAATAAACTAAGAAACTTTAAATGCTTGTCGATTCAGTAAATGAACTTAAATAGTCAAAATCCATCATATGTCACAGCGAAAGACTTCATCCAAAATCGTCGCGAGCTTTCCGAAATGGGGTTATGAGCCCAAAACGGACACCGTATGCGAAAGTTATGTTAATTTCTTCGAACGCCGACCATCCAAGCGTTCCATGTACTCAAGTGCTTGTTCCTTCACACGAACCTCATCAAACACTTCTATGAAATGTAAGTATGTGTCACACTGGGATATGGGTAAATGCAGGCAAAAAAAATTGTTAAGATAGGGAAAAAAAAAAAAAAAAAAAAAAAAAAAAAAAAACTATTTTTTTCTAAATATCTTCAAAATAATATGATTCAATATTATCATAGGTGTAAATTTTGGTCGGCTT